ACTCTCCTCTAGAATCTCGCAATCATCATCGGGAATAGGTATGGACCTACTAGACCCAATGTTAGCGTACACGGGCCTAACAAAATCACCCTTGGCTTGATCATCACTCATGATAACTTATAAATTTTTGAAGTGAGGAAGGGGTTTGTTTATGTACGCTTTGTACTTAGAATTGGATTTGTCCTGCAATAACAAATACTTATAAGTAGTGAATCAAATGTATTAAATTTTAGTGACAATATAGATGCTGAATTTGTTATACCTGAGCCCAAGATTTTAAGGTTTCATCATCCAATGTAATCATTTTACTTGATTCATCCCACCCAGCACCACTTATATCAAGGCAAGCCTTCATGTCGTTGAATTTGTTCCTCAAACATTTCAAGTGGTTAATGACATGTAATTGAGTGAAATCAGTCCTGAATTGTATGTTGATTTTCATGGCAGCCATTTTATAAGCTTCAGCCTTGAAGTTCTTGTCTGGCTTTAAGCCATCCAATGCTAAATTTGCAAGATAAGGAATAAGCACATCATCGTGCTCTGGAAGCCAAAACTTATTAGCCATGCCTCTTGAGTTCAACCTGGCACACAAAACTTTTTTCTTATGAGCTAATCTTTTCCCTCTATTCAATGGCGAAGTGTGCTCCGCACCATCAACTTCATAAATATCCTTTCCACCTGAATCACCAGTGTTCGGTGAAAATTGATTAGGTCCACTACTTTGAGAACTGGCTGTGGGAAATAGCAAACCTTGTGGATTGCCTAACAAGCTCATGTATGACATTGGCGGCTGTGTCATCCCACCATAATTACCATCGTATGGTGGGAATGGTGAGAATGTATGAGGAGGTGAAGTGAATGGTTGTGGTCGAACAGGCATGAAGTTCATGTTAATCCTTGATGTAGGATTTGGCCTTGCATTCGAATGAGAAGGCACGCTTTGCTTATCTGCCGGATTGTTAGCCATACCTAATATATATTGTAAGCATAGACATATTAACAATAAAGAAATATAAAACAATATGGGATATGTATGCATTTATCAAGGAATATATGAAACGACGATATTTCTCAAACAACATAACAAAAGAGCAACCGATAAAAGTAGTAATGTTTTGGTACAAGCAAAGAAACAATAAACAATATCGATGCGAACAGTATTTTAAAATTTACCAAGTTATTACATAGCCATAGAACAAATACACACACTAAGTTAAACCGCTCTCCATTGTGTTACCACCATTGTACTTTGCACAATAATCCACCCACATCGCCCAAGCAATTTGATCTCGCATCTCCTTTCATTCATTTCTTACATCTTGATCCTCTCTTTGTGTCCTACTTTGAGTATAGTCCACCACATTTGAATCGTCTTCATTTGTCTCTTCCCCAGTATCTTCATCAATTTCAACATTTTCATTTAAAATATCATCATCCGGATCCTCCAAGGCAATAAAGTTGTGCAACACAGTACACGCTAGTACAATGTCCACTTGAGTGGGAAATGGATAATTCGGTTTCGCCGTAAGAATTTTAAACCGATTCTTTAGTATCCCAAATGTGCATTCAATTTTTGATCTTAAAGATGAATGCCTTAAATTGAACAACTCCTTCCTATTCTTTGGTGTCCTACCGGTGTGCTCTTTTAAATAATATCGGACACCGCGATACGGGGATATGAAACCTGGCATTGTGATGTATCCAGCGTCACATAGGTAATATTTACCTACATTAATTGAACAGTATTTTAAAATCTCAATTATTGCCAAGTATTTAATATATTATTCAAAATGTGCACAAGTGAGAATGAATACCATCATAAACTCGGAGCCCGTAAGGCTGTGGTCTAGACAGAGTGTCTTGTAATATCCTATAATCATTTGCTGCCCCCTCCCAGCCAGCTAAGACATAAGTAAATAGTTTATTGGGGGTGCAGGCTGCTAAGATGTTTTGGGTGACCCCTTTTCGCCCTCTAAACCATGCAACTAGATCACTAGGTAATACCGCGTCGACGTGTGTGCCATCTATCAAACCAATGCAGTCCTATAAAAAATTATAAATTATACATAGTTGAATAAAAAGTGATTTATTTGAAAAATTGTTAAGATGCATGTATTTAATTTACCTTAAAGCAAGGAAAATAATTTGAGTTGTTTGCAATCTTCACGGGAACTTCTTTTGGGGCTTGCTTCATGTACCGATCACGTAATCCATTCATTGCTTGCAGGACTTTATTGAAATACCTGCTAACTGTTTCCCCTGATCTTATGAACTCAGTTCTTATTATTCTATTTTTAGTTTTGTGCCCAACAATACTTAGGAACATAACAAGCTGTTCTTCAACTTGAACGTGTCTTGTATCTTTTAATAAACCGTTTGCTTTCATTACTTCAACAAGTTTAAAAAATGCCATCGGTCTCATTCTAATATAAGATCGGCAGCTATCTTGATAGCCCTCCAATACACGTCTGAAGTGAGCCTCTCTACAATATATTTTTCTGATCTTTTCTTGCTTCGTACAAGTTGATATTCTCTTGCGCTTAGCACGCATTCTCAAAATACATGTTACCAAAGTGACCACGGCGCAGACAGCTGTATTAGCACACATCCTCTTCAATTCTTCCTCATCTTCCATATCCATCTACATCCGTTTTAAAATTAGCATACATTTACAACTTATCTTGTCTACTTATTTCAGTTGAAAGTTAATTAGATAACTGATACAAATATTTATTCGCAAGAAATCTAATTATACTGAATTTTATATTAACTAGTGTTGCATTCGATTTCACACAATTGTCAATAACAACACATTCTACTACCCGGGTCCTTTCATGTAATGAATTTAACCCCATGCTTTGGTAAACATAACCCTATTATTTTTCATGCACTCACATTCTTTTGTAATAAACACAATTATCAAGAACAACACATTCACACAAATATCATGCATTCTATTTCACACAACTAACTGAATTTTAGTAAACATAACCCCATACTTTGTTAAAAGTCCTAAATAATGAATTATCACGCAACTAACTGAAATTTGGTAAACATAACTGAAATTTCAACACATGTCACGCCCCGCTTCCCAAAATACACGGGAACCGGAGCTTGAACAAGCCCGCGACGTATTAGATTGAGAAGAAATATACTCTACTTTTTTTCTCTTTTCTTTTCTTCTCAATCCAATACGCTAAGCGTCTGGAAATAAGTACAATGCGAAGTCACAGGTCTCCGATCACACATAGCAAGAATATAATAGACAAACTCAGAATAAAAATATCATATCACAAATGGATAACATCCGAGACATAAAATACGGGTCAAACATGCCCTTATACAAATCTGAACAAATGAATACTAAAGAGATACAAAATACACTGATCAAATAGAAATGGAAATCCCTGCTCCTCAGACCCACCCCAGGCCGAAACAAGACGCTGGCGCGAGCCTGGAAAACAAATAATAATCTCGATATCACCTCACCTCAGACCCACCCCAGGCCGAAACAAGACACTGGCGCGAGCCTGGAAAATAATCAATAATCTCGATAACACCGCACACCTCAGACCCACCCCAGGCCGAAACAAGACACTGGCGCGAGCCTAGAAAATAACTACAATCACAATATCACAACTCCTCGGACCCACCCCGGTGACTACACAAACTTCACCAGCACGAGCCCGGAATATACATCAACAATCACAACCGCTCACATGGACCAAGATTTCTCATCCCAATTCTCGTAATTCCAAGTCAACTACACACGGGATTCTAGATCCTAACTGTGTCATACAGGTCACTATAGTCATAAACTCCTAATGATTCTCAATCACAACATAGAACAATCAATGCGACTAATCATGTGCAATAATATCATAGCATATCAAATGATCAAAATAAGAATTATAAATCATAAACAGCATCTACATAATTCAGAAAATAATCTTTTTCTAAATAAATTCATTTTAAATTATTTCACTTAACAATTAATCTAAACTAATTCATTTCCAAAATAAATTCTTTTAAATTATTATAATTATCTAAAAATGATTCTTTTGCCGAACTAAATTCTTTTAATTCATTATAATTTTTCTAAAAATGTCATTATCATATTACCATGATATAATTAATATTCTTCAACAAACAATCCCACGCAGATAAATACGTCATAATTAAACTATGCAAATAATTCATCAAAATGTAAATAACCAAACTACGAAATAGGAGAGCGGGATCTTGCCTCGGGGTTTCGTCGAACGAATCGACATTGACGACGAGGGTCGGATCCAACGCGGAGAGCGCGGCGTCCGAAGAAACTCCGGTGAGGGGCTGTCCAGCGACGGGCAGCGGGATCTGAGGTGAATCTGGGGGTCATCGACGTCGAGGCTGTCGGAGGGGTCGACGGAGGCAGCAAACAGCGGGAAGAGGAAGGCCGATGGGGCTCTGGAGACGGCGAACAGGAGCTGGAGGAGACGGGACTGTCGGGTGGTTGCC